AACTTCACGCAGCAATGAACTGTAGATCATGAAACCAAATCATACAACCGAGTCCAACCACAATACATTGTAACCACATAGAAGAAACGAGATGCTTGGAGAAAAATGAGTCCTGTATCCTACTCCACCACTGAATCATCTAATAGTCTTGGCATGGTTCCTACGATTGCATCTATCAGAAGAGCAGAAAGCTTGAAAGAACATCAAGAGCAAGATCAATACAACAACTAGAAATGTCAGAAACTGCCATGAACCAAATACATAAAGCTTCATAAGTCTCCAAGTTTCAACCCTCATCCTACCAATATAGTACTTGTTCGCATCTTCAATGATCTCATCCAAGAATGGTACTTTTGTCAATTTAATGGACATGATTGTCCCATTCCACAGGTTAGCCACTTGTTCATCATTGTTCAAATGTTTTAAAACAATCCCTTTTTCTCTCATAATCTTTGCATCTTCCTCAAAATCTATAATCCCATTCACCAATTCTATGCATCTTGTGAAAACAAGTGGCCTGCCACTGCATTGTAATATGATGCTTCATAAGCAACCAAGTTTCTAATCAACACTTGACTGTTGATGCCTGTGGCTATTGTGGGAAGTTGAAGTGTGGCTGCTTCTTTATCAAATCTGATGCTACGAATTGCTCCATTATTAGTGGGTGAGAAACAGATTCCAGAGTTTGAGAGTTCTGTAACACAAGGGATAGTAATTTCCTCCATCAAGGGTGGCTTCTTGAGATCAACAATTTCTGTTTTCGATTGCTCGTTCCCTTGTGAGAAAAACAGGTATTCCAAAGGGTGTTTTATAATCCCAACCACCGGAAGGTACAAATGATTGTCAAAGGCATACAAATGATGATCTTCATTGGCTTGTATAACAATACCTGAAACAATAACTCTACATAATAATACTTTGAATTATAAGTATCAAGTCATTGATCATACATGTTTGTTATACAAAATGACATTAAATTCATAGTTCATAGAGAGCATCTCAGAAAGGGGAAAAACACAGCTAGGTCACCAAACAATTCCAAGAGGACACATAGCATGATGCTATATTTTAACTCAAAACTTTAAGGCATTGAGCTTATAGATCTTTTCCACATATCTATCTCTTTTTCAACCCAATTCTATCTAATGTGGGACTTTTCCATACATTAAACCAAGTTAACTCACACTTAACATCCCGACACATAAATAATTCAAGTGCAAGTGAATCCTAAACAAGAGATGGTATATTTTTACAGGAGCCAAAAAGATATCACAACTAGAAAATTTGATGACATAAGTTGATACACCTATATCGATTATTTACCTAAAAAAAGAAGTTGAACAATACCTTCTGAATGAAGCTTACTGATGATTTGGTCACTATTGATGCCATCCTCCAAATTTCACTCAGGGCTTGCTTAATGATTTTTCATTACCTTCCATGTCTTTGTTGGTTGTGTTGTAGTAACTGTGTGTGTGTGTGTATGTCAAAAGAAGTCTGACATTACCAAAATGAAGAGTGCTTCTAATGTATCAATATTGAGAAATGAAATGGGCTAGTAAAATAGGTTTGGAGGAAAATTAGGCTTGCACGCATAAAACAAGCCAAATCAGGTTAATTGAAAACAACCAATTTGCACCCCCTGCGCGTGAGCTCAATAGACAGTGGGTTTCTTTTACTAGATTATTTTTGCAAAAAGTAACTAATTATTTATTCACATGAGCTTATTAGAAAACCTTGATATTTAACTGTTTGAAATTTGAATTCAACCTTAAATGTTTTTTGGCCTTTAAATAGATTCTTAAATGGATTTACATTAATCAAATCCATTATGTGTTTGTCCCAAACGGCTCTAGGAGTAATGCATGCGTGCATAACCGAGCATTTAAGCTATTTTATGATTGTGTAACTAAGGCTTAATGGTGTTTAATTTGGTGATTATGAGCCCAATGTTCATGCGGACCTTCAGCCTATATATAGCTATGGGTGTAGACAGAATGGTGTGCCTGCCTCTTGAGCTTTTGAGGTTTTCTTTCCTCCTCTATTGTGTACTTTTTTTCATCTGAGTTTGCTGGTGTTTGCTGTTTTGTGCCCTTATGTTCTTACAGGATGTGCTTGTTTAATTCTAAAGAATTGCTGGTCTGCCATAATAGTTTTAGAAGATAGTGTTCTCCAGTATAACTCAAGTAGCTTGTGATTTACCTATATATCGCCAACAAGTTGTTCTTCCAATTTGGGTACAATCATGTTATACAAGAAATCTAGCAAATGCGCACATTGTGAGACTTGGATCTTTGAATAATAATTTTCTTTAGTTGTCTCAAAAAGTGAAATTTCTTTAAACAACCCTATCAATAAAGCAAGAAGCATATCATTTGCTAATGATTCTTCTGTTGATGATGATGATGATTTGAATTCTAAAACTTTTCTCAAAACAAATAATGGGATCTGATTCTCAAACATTAGCATGCTCTTAGGGTTTGATCATTTTGACTTGATTTTCTCCCACCACCATAATCGATCATTCTTCCTTGTTGAAGAAAATCAAGCAAGAAGGAGGCATCAATAATCATCACCACACTAAGGTTTCGCTACTGAAATTTAAGTACTTGTGGTAGCATGCTCTAATCCTGTGTTCATATTTTCTCAATTGGTCAGCAAGATGTTCTAAGTTGAGGCTAACAATGTGATCTAGTATTATATCAGAAAAGGGTAGAATCGGTCCATTCAATTGAACTTGAAACGATTTAAAATTGCTTCTACAAAATCAATTACTTTTAGAACTGCTAAAAAAATTTACAAATGATTAATTAGTTTGTTCGGTTTACCCCTTATTTTTTAGTTATTAGTGAAAAATGGCATCATTTTGGTATTATTATTTTTTTCTTATAAAATTCCAATACTTTATCAGAATCATTCTCGTACATAATTATTAATTATTAATAATTATAAATTTGAAAAATGAGTATCATGACAATTTATTATTGGTGTCCTATTTTGATTTCAATTTGTGATTATAAATATAATAACGAGATTAGATTTAAAGATTCAGTTATGCAAAGTGGTAGTTTTGTTATTTCCTATTGTTATTAAAATCTTATTATATTAATTTTGATCAGTTTGACCAAAATCGAACAAATTAACCTTGAATCAGGTCCTAGACTGATTTAAATGGCCATTCTTTTTTGTTTTTTGCCAGAAATTTAAATGGGCCATTCAATTTTAAAAATATTATAATAATCCTGCTTGATTCCTTCTAAAAGCAATTTAGATATGGTTAGGGAATAATTTTGTAAATGGCAGCGTAACAAGGGGGTAAAACACTCCACTACTATGTAGAAAACTACTTAATGGACAACGTAGTGATCAGGTATTTTCGAAAGATTAACGTGAAAAGTTAAATTTCCTAAGAATAGAAATGCTTATTATTCACTGAAAGATCTATGAGAAAAATACATAAAACCTTTTTAGGGATGTAAGAATCTGGATCACCAGTCATAAGGGGCTTGGGAACAGTGAAGATAGACACAAGGAATTCGCCATTATCTTCCTCTTCAAGCTCTTCTTCTAGGGTTTGACGGATGTGAATCACCCATCTAAGCTCATCAATGTCGGATTTGTTGAAGTCATACGAGATGGTTCGTCTGAACAATGACATGAATGAATAATAATTTAAGTATCTTGTAATGGTTTCTCTTGTTTGTCTTGATAGAGATATTTAGTGAAGAGGGTTAACTAAGAGGATGAAGCTTAATTTTATTATCACAGAAACGTAGTGATTTGGAAACTCCTAATGAAATAATCAGAATATGAGTTTATTTGAAAATTAATGCCCATTAATTATAGGTTTCTTTATAATAATCAAAATATGAGTTTATTTGAAAGTTAATGCCCATTAATTCTAGGTTTCTTTATAATATTTATGTTAACCAACAACTTAGGTTTCAATTTACCTCCATCTAATTGAGAAATTTTTGCATGAATTGGTGCACTGCTCATTCATACTCTATCCAATAAAAACATGTCATATTAAATAATTATAAATATAAATTAATTATGCCATTGATAATAATAGATAGAAGAAAAAACAAAAGAAACATTATATTCTAAAACTAAACTTATAAAATATGACACATAAAATTTTATTTAACAAAAATGTTGCAATTTTATTAGAAAGAGCATAAATGACATGGCATGCAAAAAAATTTCCATTCAATTTTATTTTATTTCACACATTTTATCTTTAATGCTTTCATGTAATTTGTTCCCTACTGGGAAGAATATGAGGGAAAAGGACATTCATTAGATGGAAATCAAATTTTCAACTACTTGCATAAAAAATGAAAATCCATGCTAATATAAGTTGATTGTATATTTCATTATAGATAAAAGAAAGCAGTTTATGGATTAGTGTAAATTTCTTTAAATTAAACTCTACAAAAAATCTATTATAGAATACAAAAATTAGGACATGAAAGTATTTTTTTAAAAAAAATTTATCTAATTTTTGGATTGTGTTTCTTTGCAAAGAGATGGATTGATGTGGATTTTCTTTTGGTTAACTGTTAACCAATTGTTGCATGACTCATAAATTGTTAGAAATGATATTCACACAGCATTTGCAACTCCAAAAGATGATTGCGTTCATAATTTCATCATTGCAATAACAAGTTCCATCTTTCTCCTATGTTTTAAGACTAAACGATTCAATTCATCAGAGACGACAACACCAAATTTACATGAAAACATTTCCCCTTTATTTGGATGGATAGGAAGGGGAAAAAAAACTAGAAAAGACAATGTCTAAAAGTAATAAAATTTTTAAAAATTTATCTTCATAGTTTTTTTTCCTCTCTATTTTCTTCATAAAAACCAAGCCTTCAAGTCTACTGAAGAAATTCCCCGCTGTAAATAATGCATCAAGGGGTTTATACGATTATGGTTTTTCAACCTTGTCCACTTATTCAGTAAATACTCTCTTCAAAACAATAGACATTAAGTGAGCAGAAAGAATTTATGTTTGAATTGAACGTGCCGACCATTTTGACAGAATCTAGTTCAGTAAAAATATTCTTACAACCCAAACTTTCAGATATAAAATAACATCAAAATTGGAATGAAGGAGCCATTACAAGACAATACAAAGTCTATATACACAAAGGATTAGATTTATATCTCCAATAGGGTTGTGGTTTGAAAAATGAAGTGAGCAAGATTTTTCACATGACTCCTCATCAATGAAGAATATTACCGTCAAATTGGATACTCCTTGTTGTGAAGATATCCACCATTTCCAATCAGATCCAAGCATGCCCAAAAAGGAACCAAGCATCTGCTAATGTCATGCCATCCATTGAACAAGTTTATCCAAAATATGTATATGGCTACCTGCTATCTCTTCCGAGAATGCTTACTTTTTTAGCTACCAAAAGGAAGTTTGTTCCCTTCATCAACAGAGGTGAACTCACCAGTTACCCTGCCCAAGAAAAGATCAATTAGCACCAGTGGTAGATACTTCCAACAATCTGATGGAGAATTGGTAGTAAGGAATACCAAGTCCTACATTAAGTAATATGTGATACTTAATAAGGTATTTAAATGAGTTGGTTCTTTCACCTCAACAGTTAATTTTTGAGGTAAGATTCCCTATCCCGATTAAGCATCCATTAATTGGTATCAGAGCAAGGTTACTCATGAAAGGTTCTAACTGACAAGAGGCTAAGTTAAGTGTCGTGGTGTGTAACCGTCGAGACATTGGTGTTCCATGGGGGGCCAACTGATGGAGACTTGATAGTATAAGATATCAAGTCCCACATTGAGTAGTATAGGATACTTAATAGGGTACTTAAATGAGTTGGTTATTCTATCTCAATAGCTAGCTTTTAAAGTCAGGTTCCCCATCCCATTCAAGCACCCATCACAAATTTATCTAGAGAAATGGAATTCTTTTTGCCTTGATAAAAACAGGATATTGAACCTCTCTGTTTTTTAGATCCGAATCTGTTTTTAGAACATTTGTACTCTTCTCATTTTTTCCCCTCTTCTTGCCTAGATCATAGGGATTTGAATTGCAGACTGGCTGCAATCAATCCTCCATATATGTCAAACTTGTCTGAATAATGTAAATGAAACCAATCCTCCATTCTTTTTCAAGAACAGAAAATTCAATGGCGGCTTGAGCCTCTAACAATCAAAATTCAAATTAAGACAGCGCTCTCAAAGGATATAATAATGTACTCCTTGCTGGCATAAGCCTTAGCTGGTTAAATTTTACTTAATCATGAGAATTTATGAAAGCACAATAAACAGAGATGTAGGAGTCCAAATACCCATTATACAACAAAGTGGCATCGCCTATTGTCCCTGCAACCTTATTCCGTACCTTACGAACACAAACCTAAAGCAAAGCATATAACAGATATATATATATATATTTAGTATAAATAATAAATAATCACTCAATGCATCCACAGTCATATTGCAAATACACACCTGTACTTGATCCATAGGCCCAGCTTCTGGATCTCGATTTCGATGAATAACAATTCCATTGTCGCATTTATTTATGAAGTGTGCACTTCCACTTATATCATAGAGATTAGGAGGTCCCCCAACCCAATTTTGTAACTGGTATTTTTATTATGCAACTAACTGTTAGACCATTAGATATATCAGAAAAAGGAAAGAGGGAATGGCCGAGATTACAGCCTTTTGTTACCAACCTGTCTAGGATGTGCTACAAACCAAACATGGCATCCGTGATGCTGGGCAAACCGTTTGATTTTGGTAAGCATCTGACTAACATATTCAGTTTCAGTCCTGAAACAAATAAATAAACATCATTAGCAATGCTGCTAATGTTTGAACAAAGTATAGGGTGCAAAGAACAAAAATAATCAACATGCTAGGGGAGACAATATAAGGTCCGTTTGGTTGCTAGAAATTATGGCATGGATTAAAAAAAAATAAACCAAAAATGAACAAAATCACCATCCCTCTTATAATAAGCAAGATAAAATCCAACATCACACCTTCCACAAATCTCATCAATCATAACTCCCAACCTCATGAACTATATTACTCTTTCCCATCATGAATATAGTTGACCAATCTCCCATCCATATTTTGATCATTTTATTTTTACCTTTATTTTTTAATTCATTCTATTCCCATTCTTTCCAGCAACCAAACAAGTCCTAAGTATATATCATAAACAACTAAGCACAATAAGGTTCTTTCTATTGGCATCATTACTTTAATTTGCTACCACAGAAGTAGCAAGTTCATGATGAGGTCAACTATGAACACAAGAAAAATAGAAACAAAAGATCCAAATTAAGAACAAAATCTCTGAGAAAGTTACATGCTTGGAGGGCGCTGATGGTCAAGCTCATTATAAGGATCGATTACAAGTCCACGCACCCCATGCCTTAGCACAGCTATTTTTGCAAGGTCAAGAAGCCAAGTTATACTTGGAAGCGCATCACCTTCACACCTAGCATGACCAATAAGGAACACCAGCATCAAAACCGACGAGTAAAATAAATAATCTAAAAGTGCCCAAAATTTTTTTGAACTAATATGCTAATTAATCACTGCCAAGAACCTGCAACAGCCATCAAGAAAAAATATCCATTGTTTCTCAACAAATTCAAGGATAAAGACCAGACTAGAACACTCCTGACATAAGCACAAACAATTCATTTCCATGCAAACATTCTAAAGGCCCTGAAATCCACAAGAGATTAAGTAATTTATAGAATTCACGGTCAAGACTACAATTTCAGCAACACTATCAGTACATAAGATAAGGGAAAGAAGGGAAAAAAAATACAAGCAGAGGAGATTCAGTTCCAACAACCAAAGACCAGCCAGATCAGTTGGTTAAAATGGCTGGATCCCTGATTCTGATTTCCACTTAGTTTTAACAAGGTTCTATCTTTCCCTAGTTTCAAATATGAATAAATTACATTATGACCCATAACTTCCCTCAGTTCCTCAGGAAATGATGATTGTCTTCTTATCAATGCTAGTAAACAACAGTGGCTCAATTAGCCAGATATCAAATTATGAAATAAGTTGAGAGAGAGAGGGTTTTTTTCCTTTGGTTCTTTCTTTTTGTCTGTCTGTTTTTATGTTTTTGGGGCTGGGGGGGGGGGCGCGGGTTGCAACCAGGCCATCAATGGGCTCACCTTATGAGTTGAAAAGTATCACTTAACCAGCTCTTCCCCTGTTCTAACTCCTCCACACTCATACGTTCAACAGATTCGCCATAACTATCATCAGACAAGGGCCAGAAGATGGGTGATTATAAACATTCACAAAAGAATAATACTAAGTATTGCTGCTGTTGCAAGAGGATTAACAGATAACATTCACTAATTTGATCACCTAAGTATTAGCAAATAAATTTTGCAAAGATATGAATCTAAATTTAATCCTTGGCATCCTTGTCAATCAAATTCTAAATACAAAATTGACTAAAGAAGAAATATATTGTTGGAGCCCAAAATATTCAAATGACCTGCAGGGAAAAGAATTTTATGCATTTCAAGAATAGACTATAGAGATTGTAAAGAAAGCATAATAGCAAAGTCATTGGCTTGGGTATTAGGTATCTAGGAAAGCCTTAGAAGTTAAGAAAAGTATTACTCTTACATCAATGGAAATAGTTGAGTTCAGGGGTCAATACAATGCATATCATAATTAAGTATTTCAAAAATATATTTCAATGATTTCATTCCTCATCTATCTAAATTTTATCATATTTTCTTCACATGATACGAGAGTCATTCAATCCAACTTGAACTCCATCTGCAAATACAAAATATAGATGCAATAGCCCATCTTTAACAAGGTATAAGAATCTTGATATCACATGCTCCTTTAGGTTTATAATATAGGGCATTTCTAGAAGCCTTATTTGGTTCAAAAACAGTAGTTCTATGTGTGGTGTTTTTGAGAGAGGGAAATTGTATTTCTCATTCATCTACTTTCAAATGTACAGGCAGGTCCTATATATATACATCAAGAGAGATAAAACCCAATAAATACTAATAAAGCTTAATGAATAATGCTAATAAATGCTAATTATTAGCAATAATGACATAATATTCCCACACTCCCCCTCAAGTTAGATCATAGATGCTAATCATGTCCAACTTGCTTATACAGCTCTCAAAGGCAAGCTTAGGTAGTCCCTTGGTCAGCACATCTGCAGCTTGTAACTTTGTAGGTAGGTATGTTTGACATACACTGCCTTCCTCTAATTTCTCTCTGATAAAATATCTATCCACTTTAACATGTTTAGATCTCTCATGTTGTATAGGATTCAATGCCATGCTTATGGCAGCCTTGTTATCACAATACAACTTCATTGGTAGATTAATTCTGACTTGTATTTCTTCCAAGACCCTTCTTATCCATAGTTCTTTTGTGATTCCTTGAGCTAATGCTCTCAATTCTAATTTAGCACTACTTCTGAATACGACTCTTTGCTTTTGACTTTTCCAAGTCACTAAGTTTCCCCACACAAACGAGTAATAGCTAAAGGTGGATCTCCTATCTCCATAGGTTCCCCCCAGTCTACATCTATTTAAATCTCCATTGTCCTCTGCACATGCTTCTTAAATAGCAATCCCTTACCAGGTGTACCTTTAAGGTATCTAAGAATCCTACATACAGCTTCCAGGTGTTTCTTTTTTGGATCACATATGTATTGACTTGCTACACTGATGGCAAAAGCAATATCTAGCTTTATATAAGATAGATAAATCAGCTTCCCAACCAGTCTCTGATATCTGTCTTTATCAACAGTTTCTTATTTTTCCTTGTCTTCTTCTTCAACCTCATCATCAGAGTTGTCTTCTCCTTCTGACTTCTCCTTACTATTTTTCTTAGACTTTTTCTTTCTCGAGACCACAATAGGAGTTTCCTCAAGTTTACAACCTAATATGCTAATTTCCCTGAGAAGATCAAGTATATACTTCCTCTAAGATACATATATGCCTCGTTTAGACCCTGCAACTTCCATCCCGAGAAAATATTTCAAGTTCCCAAGATCCTTGACTTCAAATTCCTTACCAAGAACAGTCTTTATCCTTTCTATTTCCTCAACATGATCTCTTGCAAGAATTATATCATCTATATGCACAATAAGGATGCACTTTTTGGCTCCCTCAGCCTTAAAAAAAAAATCATATGACTTGATACTCCATGTTTATAGCCTTCTGACTTCAAAACCTTTTAAGAATCTATCAAACTATACTCTAGGTGACTGTTTCAAGCTATACATAGATTTCTTCAACTGGCAAACTTTGTCATTTTTGTCTCTATCAAACCCCAGAGGTAGAGTCATGTAGACTTATTCCTTTAATTCTCCATTTAGAAAGGCATTCTCGATATCTAGTTGATGAAGTGGCCATTCAAGGAATGGTTGGGTGCTACTGATAATAGAATTCTGATAGTGTGTCGTTTTGCCACTGGCACAAACATCTCTTTGTAGTCTATACCATAAGTCTAGGTGAAACCCTTTACTACTAATCATGCCTTTAACTTGGCAACTATGCTATCAACCTTTTACTTTAGAGTAAATATCCACTTGCAACTAACTAGTTTCTTACCTTTAGGTCTTTCAACAGTCTCCCATGTTCCATTTTTCTCCAAAGCTCTAATTTCTTCCATAACTACATTTCTCCATTTTGATATTCCTAGTGCCTAACTCCGCCTATGTTTATAGCCGATCTCAAGCCCGGGTAAAGGAAGAGGGTTGTGTTAGGCCATCAACAGCCAATGTAAAACTTTGTTGAATCTATCATGAACATGGACAATAGACGTTATAATGTTAATGCTAGGTCGTTGCCCGTAAGTAACGCGCTGCATGGCTCGAGTACAGTGATAAGTGAGTTAGAGCCACTGCATCGGCGCCCGGATGTAGTGTTAAATGAGCAAGGGCTACCGCGTCATTCTGGACACACACGGCTAAAGAAGTTAGTCCATGAGAGCAAAATTAAATTTGGTACTTGGAATGTTGGGACATTGAATTGTAAATCTGTAGAGGTTGTAGGGGTTATGATTCAAAGAAAAATCAATATCCTTTGCCTGCAAGAAACAAAATGGCATGGAGAAGAAGCTAAGGATATTCAAGGTTTCAAACTTTGGTATACAGGAAAAGTAAGTGCACACAATGGAGTAGGCATCATTATAGATAAGGAGTGGAAGAAGAACATTGTAGAAGTTAGCAGAATTGGAGACAGAATTATTTCCTTAAAAATGATAATTGGATGTGAGACTGTTAATATTGTTAGCGCTTATGCGCCGCAAGTCGGGACAGAAGCCAGTCTTAAGGAATTATTTTGAGAGGATCTGGAGGGGTTGATTCGATGCATACCACAGAGTGAAAAGATTTTTATTGGAGGAGACTTTAATGGGCATGTCGGGAGGGAAGCTGGTCAGTATGCGAGAGTGCATGGTGGTTTTGGTTTTGGAGAGCTAAACAATGAAGGACAAACTCTTCTTGATTTCTCATTGGCATATGATTTTAAGATTGCCAACACTTGTTTCAAGAAGAGAGATGAGCATCTCATCACTTACAAAAGTGGAGCCTCAAGGTCACAGATTGATTTTCTTTTGGTTAGGAACACAGATAGAAGACTTTGTAAAAATTGCAAGGTGATCCCCGGAGATGCTGTAACGACACAACATAGGGTCCTAGTCCTTGATGTGTGTATTTTGAGTAAAATCCAAAAACGTCGACAAGTAGTAGCACTAAGGATTAGGTGGTGGCAATTAAAAGGTGAGGAGCAAGATATTTTCAAGCGAAATCTTTTGGATAAAGGAATTTGGGAATCTTAGGGAAGTGCTAACATCATGTGGGAGGATATGGCTAAAAAGATACGGGAGGTTGCAAAAGTAGTTTTAGGAGAATCAAAAGGCTTTGGTCCGAGAGATAAGGAGTCTTGGTGGTGGAATAATAGTGTACAGGACAAAATCAAGTATAAGAAGAACTGTTTTAAAGCCATACATTTGTGTAACAATGAGGAAAATTGGGAGAGGTACTGTATGGCTAAGAAGGAAACTAAGAGAGCTGTGGGTGAAGCTCGTTCTAAAGCTTTTGAAGAATTTTATAAGAGCCTTGAGACGAAGGAAGGAGAGCTAAATATTTATAAGATTGCCAAGAGTAGGGAAAGAAAATCAAGAGATCTAGAACAGGTAAGGTGTATTAAGGATTAAGAGGGAAGAACTTCAGTTACAGATGATGAAATTAAAAATAGATGGGAGACTTACTTTTCTAAACTTTTCAATGATGGAGAGGGTTCATCTAGTAACTTGGAAGATTTAGTAACTGGTGAAGGAGAACAAAATTTATCATTCTATCGAATAATACGTGATAAGGAGGTAAAGGAAGCTCTTAAGAAAATGGCAAATGGTAAAGCCAACGGACCTGATTGTATATCTATCGAAGCGTGGAAATGTTTAGGGGAAGAAGGGGTGAGATGGTTAACTAAGTTATTTAATGTGATTTTACGGTCCAAGAAAATGCCTGATGAGTGGAGGAGAAGTACATTAATTCCTATTTATAAAAATAAAGGAGATATTCAAAATTGTACTAACTATAGAGAGATTAAACTTATGAGCCACACAATGAAATTGTGGGAGAAAGTAATTGAGCATAGGTTGAGATTGGAGACAAGTATTTCTGAGAATCAATTTGGTTTTATGCCAGGTAGATCGACTACAGAGGCGATTTATCTACTAAGGGGATTAATGGAAAAGTATCGTTGTAAAGATAAAGATCTACACATGGTTTTTATTGATTTGGAAAAAGCTTATGACCGTATACCAAAAGAAGTGCTTTGGAAAGCGTTAGAAAAAAAGGGAGTACGCATTGCTCATATTAAAGCCATACAAGATATGTATGAGGGGGTAAAAACTAGTATAAGAATGCCTAGTGGTCAAACAAAGGATTTTCCTATAAAGATTGGACTACATCAGGGATCATCTCTGAGTCCTTATTTGTTCAACTTGATCTTAAATGTTTTGACGGAACATATTCAAGGGGAAATCCCGAAATGTATGCTCTTCGCGGATGATATAATTCTTATAGCAGAGACAAGAGAAGAGGTTAATTGCAAACTTGAGTTATGGAGGAGGACATTGGAGTCGAAAGGTTTTCGTCTGAGTAGAAGTAAGACGGAATATTTATATTGTAAATTTAGTAAAGGACTATTCGACAATAATTTGGAAGTGAAATTGGGAGACCAAATTATAGCTCAAG